TGAGTTCACTCCTTAGAGTTTTAGAGCAAGGAAGTGCCCGTACCGCCGGCCCGATGCGTGTGAGATTTTCCATGACTTCGTAATGTTCTTCTCTTAACTACTTAATATGACGTTTACCTTCACCACATAGCACGGTGGTATATCAGTATGTAGATACTTTTAAAGTGCAATTGACAAATTCAGTGGTGCCGGCGGGGATCGATCTTGGAATGCTCGCACTATAAAATTTTAGGATGAGTACTTTTTTATATTACGAACGAACGAGCGCACAGTCCACCTGATAGTATGTAGATGCTGTAGCTCAAAGACATCTGCATCTATCCTCGACTAAGAATTAAAATGCAGATGCGTTGTCACCCCTGAGGACTAAGATGGAATGTTCTCTATGGTTCGGAACGGAAAGGTTCTCTACACTTATCATACGAAACGTAGTAGCATTAAGCTGCTATTTTACGCGTATATTCTGTGATCGTTCCCCGATCGAGCCGATCAATTCGTGCTACAACTATAATATACCTGCAGCGTAGCTCTACCACGAATAGACACATCCCCTGTGCTACCATAACTGTCTGCCACATAACGTTATCGTACGTAGTAAGGTAGGAAAGTAGCAAGAAAAATAAATAGTTATTAGTTTTCCCCATTATCTATTTATGAAAAAGTTAAATAATAACCTAAAAGAATTATATCAGTTTTGCATTTTAATTCCAGTCGGGTGTTAAGGACATTAGATTTGCCAGGCAGTGATCTTGTTTAAAAATATGCAACTTGCATTCATTTTACTATGCTCGTCGCGATTCGAATGGCGCGTTGTCTATCTTACGTGAGTGAATTGTTGAACGACATGCAAAACCATAAGTAGAGATGGAGATTAAGTGGTCTACCAGTGATCAAAATTCGACCGTAATTTATTTCATTTTTAGGTTTATATGTTATGTAAGCTCTATTTCACTTTAAACTACTTACACATTAAATATATGATATATAGAAACGGATATAATATATAGAAACGGATATCATATATACAAAATAAAACTAAAATAAACGCTTTTTTGCCTTGATTATTTAATATATACATTTTAGCCTTCAGCACTCGTTTCTCCATATAAACTTTAACCTTGGTAAATCTCACTCTCCTCCGTGCGCGCAATAAGCTTAAAAAGGCGTACAAAGTTTTCCTTTCACGTATTAATAGATATTTGGTACTAGAAATCCTAAAAATCAAGAGTTTAAATATTTGGAAGTGACGAGGAAAGAAAAACCTTGAGCTTAAACGTTATTCCATGTTATTTTATAACAAATAGTTTGAATAATAAAAAAAATACATATTTTGTATCGGTAAGCGAAATGTAAGCAGTAACACAGTGTTGGTTATACGTGGTAGAGCCACGCTGCATTTATATTACCGGGGTAAACCACGCTCTTACTCTTACCAGCAGCGTCAAATAGCAGCTTAATGCTGCTGTGTTTCATATGGTGAGTGTAGAGAACCGAGTTCCTTTTTACTGGAAACGAGTCATTGTAGGGTGACATCACATCTACATTTTGATCCTTTATACATATATACATACACACATACATACTAAGATATAGGTACATATAATATACAAAATCTATACCCATAGTATGTATTAATATATAACAAAACATACATGATATAATATGAGTATAAGTTACATATAATAATAAAATATAAATATTAAAATTCCTAATTATAATCACTTATCATTTTGTTTACATCATTCATCTACATCAAATTCTCTCCACGTGCTTACTGATAGAGAATACCTAAAATCATTAAGATCGACTTTTGTATTTTTTGTAATAGGAAAAGCAATACATATATATTTAAAGGCACAGCACAGTGTCTACTGCAGCTCATAAAAACCTTGAAGTGGCTTCAAAAAAACAAAAATACAACGGGATGAAATAGGATAATTCACGTGCCACGCTTATTGAGGGTTCATTTTTAGCAAAATACCTGTTATCGTACGTCTCGAAATATTTATTACGGATGAAGGCCGCACGTGGGCGACAAGGGATTGTTGCACGTGTAGGCATACTACTGCGACTTGCGACTTCTGTCATTTTCTTCGTGATTTTCAAAATTATTTAAGGGTCATTATTATCGTTACAGCCTATCTATAGAAGTCTACTACAGAATATAGGCCTCCTGCATACATTGTCTCAGAGGGGGAATTCTCGCTTTAGGAAGAGGGTTAGCAACCGCAGATTTTTATAATCGAGTTTTTATCAAGAAGATACCTACTCTCTAACAATACCCTCGGGCTGGCATGAGGTAGTGTCTAAAGCCGCCTTTACACGATGATTGAGGTATAGTTAAAATTAATTATTTATTAATTCGGCAATCACAATGATAGATTTTAAATTTTCTGTAAGTTAATCAAAATATACATCGTACAGCAACGTTTTAACTTAGTAGCATAGCTAACATTACGATCGTAGTTACTAATAGAAACTTGTGATTTGAATGATAAATGTTATCATAGCATTTTGTAAATTCTCCTAGATTTTAACAGCGCGTTACAATAAGCAGCGGACGTGGTACTTTTTCACATTAAAAAGAATTTGCTATAATCGCCTTGATTGGCAAGGACCCGTCGCAAGTTTCGATTGCATACATAGATACAATATTTTACCATTTTTTTATTAAGTATTTAATAATAGAAGAATTTAATAATTGTATTGTATTAAATTAATAATTATATCTATTATAATAATAATGTACAAAGCAAATTCTTTCTAATGTGAAAAATGTGAAAAAGTACTACGTCCGCTGCTTATTTTTTATCTTATTTATTGTATAAATTATTTATTGTTTATCTTATTTATTGTATAAATTATTTATATTAAATCAATTTTAATAGAGCAAGAATATAATGAAAAAGTGGTATTTTTATCTTTAAATAAAAAACAAAAACAAAACTTGTTTAAAATCTACACATTACAAATTAGATTGATATGTTAGGTAGGTACTGTCATTTAAAGAAAATATAAAAAAAATCTTTATGTAAATGACAGTAACATCCAGATACACTTACTTGATTAAATATTAATTCTGTATGTAATTGTTAATGTCTGTAAATTCTGTCGTCATTCACATCGCATTTACTCAATTGAATACGACAAAATTGCCCTCCAATCCTTATATTCTTACACGTGGATACAATTTTGGCCTACAATAAATCACTATTATTGTACGATAATAACTACTTGGTATGGTACTTGCAAACAGAATTTTTAATCAATATAACCATCACGTGTATTCCTTTTAATCACGAGATAGTATGGCTTCTCTACTGATTACATCTGGGTTGGTATTTGGTACTACCATTTTAGGTACCAGTGTCGCTAAGGATAGGTAAAGTTAGTATAGTTACAGCCTATTCTCATGCCACAGCTGTGCACAGGCTTAGGCTCACAGGTTATAGAAAAATTTTCCGCTGCGTCCTCACTGATATCATTCGGTTAGAGGAGTATACGTGATAGAGCCATGCAGCAGTTATATTAGTAGTAGGTATAGTTGTAGCACGAGTGGGTCGGCTCGACCGGGGAAGGACCAAGTTCTCACAGACTAGAGTTAAATAGTAGCTTAATGCTGCTGTGTTTCGTATGGTGAGTGTAGAGAACCAAATACCCTTTTTACTGGAAACGAGGCATTCCATGTTGGTCCACACGGGTGACAACGCATCTGCCTTTTGATTCGTAATCGAGGATAGATGTAGATATGTCTATGGGCCACAGCAACCACATGCCATCAGGTGGACTGTGTGCTAGTTTGTCACCCTATCCTTTATAAAAAAAAGTTTAATAAGAGCCTGTGAGGCATTTACTAGGACCTAGTACTACTTATCTGTCAAGAAGTCAGTCTGGGTAGGTGTCACCCTCTTACGTACTTCTGTTGCTAATAATATAAATAGCAGTATTTGCATAGCTGTTTTCTGGCCTGAAGGGTATAGGGAGCAAGTATAGTTACAGTACTGGCGACGAGGTTCGACACCCATCACGTTCTATCTCCCGGAGGGGCGAAAAGTGGATCGCAAAAGCCCGTCTGGCTACGCTAAATGTACGTGGAGCAATAAATGATAAGATGGATGAAGTATGTGAAATGATGTATGATAGACGAATAAATGTGTTACGTGTAAATGAGACGAAACGGAAGGATGCCACTGCACATGGCATGTATTCCACTTACTGGTCTGGTGTAGACCGAACGAGTATACCAGCGAGTCTCTAGAAGAGCGTTTAGGAGGGTAAAGGTGTGAATGAGTATGAATGTATAAGCCCGAGGCTGCTACGGATACGAATGAAAGTGGGCTTAAAGAAGATGTTTGTTCTAAAGGCTACGCCCCAGACATGTAAGACTTGCCTACTTATAACCGAAAGCAGTTTTGGAAGATGATAGGGATGATGTTAACTCACTTTCTCCTACTGTATCTTAAACGACACACCCACAAAGAAAAATAAAAAATATGTGTGGGTAGTTTTTATTTCTTTCTTCTACGTCGATTCGTGCTTGAGAAACTGCTCTTTAAATGTGCATTAGTGGTTGTGAGCTACACTTCTTAATTATTGTGGAAAATAACTTGAAATATTCACGATATTGCAATGGCTACTTCAAGGTAAGTGTATATATTTTTTTATACAGCATATCACAAATGTATTTACATATATATCATATTTGATCCCGTAGGTCACTCAATGTAAAACAATTGAAATAATTTTAGGTTTTTTATTTGTAATTTTTTCAAATCATTTTCATGTTCCGTAAAAGACACAGTAGGAAAATGTACTACTATTATTGAGGTCAGATTACAGGAAGTTTGGAAAGCAACTTTCTCTAAATGAGATTATTGAGGAATTGGCGCAAAATGATGATGATGATATCCCAGAATCTATTACAATAATGCCACCAAAATTGTAATGCTGAGGTAACGGATGAAGACTCTGGAGATGAAGACTTGGTGTCACTTCTAAACTTGCCGGGGTCTCAACTAAGGGCTGCTGCTGAGGTCCAGTATGGCAACAGCTGTGATGATTGGGAGAGTGATGATGATCTATCATTAGCCGAAGTAAACAAAAGGCGACGTCTAAATTTTGAAAATGAATGTGCTTCCACATCCCAAGCCTCGCTTCTTCAAGGACAAATAGATGATCCGGTTTCACCTGCTGTACCAGTACCTTCTACTTCAACAAATGCTCCAACTATGATCAACTTCAAAAATACTAAATATACTTGGAGTTCAAGAGATATTCAGCCTACGCACAGTGATTGGCATAACCCACAGCGTCCTGACCAGTATGGTGATAAAAATCCCATTGATTACTTTGATTGCATGTTTGACGACGTGGTTTTGAATATTCTTGTGGAATTTACTAACTTATATGCTACAAAGAAGAATAAAGAAGGTAACGTGACAGCAAGGGAGATGAAATGTTTTTTGGGAATACTGTTGTATAGTGGATACGCGGTTGTTCCTAGACGAAGTATGTACTGGGAAAATACTCCAGACTGCAGTGTACCATTTGTCTCATCAGCTATGGTAAGGGATAGGTTTAATTTTATAGTATCCCATTTAAATTGTTGCAACAACTCCCAACTCAATGAGAGAGACAAATTTGCGAAGTTAAAACCTCTCTTTGATGTGCTAAACTCGAATTTTTTGAAGCATGCTCCTTTACAAGAGTGTCACAGTATCGACGAAGCTATGGTCCCATATTACGGTGGGCATCCATGTAAACAGTTTATAAGAGGCAAACCTATTAGATGGGGCTATAAGTTCCGGGTTGGAGCAACGCGTCTGGGCTACCTTTTATGGTTTCAACCGTATCAAGGACAACAAGGATGCACCGATACAAAATACAAAAGTCTCGGATTGGGTGTTGTATTGCAGTATGTTGATGAGCTTCGTAAGATAAATGCAGAAGCTCCATTCCATCTGTTCTTCGACAACTTTTTTACATCTATCACACTTATAGATGAACTTCGGACGCGCGGTCTGAAAGCTACAGGCACCATAAGAGAGAATAGAGTGTCAAAATGCCCATTGCCCACTAACAAAAAACTCAAAAAAACTAACCGTGGGACGTACAAATACAAATCTACTAAGAGCTGAAGAAATTGTCGTCTGTATGTGGAATGATAATAGTGTAGTTACCGTGGCTTCCAATGCTATAAAATTATTACCCGTCAACAAAGTCAAAAGATTTTCTCAGCAACAAAAAAATATGTGCAAGTGGATCAACCTGCAGTTGTGAAGGCATATAACGAAAATATGGGAGGTGTTGATCGTTCTGATCAAAATATTAACCTTTACAGGACAAGTATTCGTGGTAAGAAATGGTATTTCCCACTTATCACTCATTGCCTTGATATGGCTACACATAATGCTTGGCAATATACAAGGAAAATTGAGGAGTTTGGGATCATCCGAAATTTCGCAGAAATATTGCTGTAAGTCTCATTGAAAACAATAAGAAGATTGACAGTCACAAAGGTGGACGGCCAGCACAATCTTTATCTGGGGTGTTGCAGTACAACCACCATGGCCTTTTAGTAAGGTATAGAGAAGACCGTTTGAGATGCGTCTTCTGTCACAAAAGTGCAAACTTTTATTGTGTCAAATGCAATGCTACACTACACCCAAAAACATACTTTAAAGCTTATCATACACTCTAGTTATTTTGTTTTATAGTTATTTTGTTCAATTTTAAGTTTAATTATAATATAATTAATAGAATTAATGCTATTTAATACGGGAATGGCTACATTCTGAATGACGAAGTTTCGATATTTAAGCAAAATTTTGAAATGGAAGTAATATTTTAATAGCGTGTTAATGAGTGGAGAGACGTTTGCATTAAATTAAATAGAAATTCCGACAGAAGAGGAAAGACGTAAGATAAGTAGTAATAAGATAAGTATAGATGAAATAATTAAATCAACGAAGAGCTTGAAAGCAGGCAATGCGGTCGGATATGATAGAGTATCACTCGAAATGCTAAGGGCTGGTAGTCACGGGGAGACTGAGGTGTTTAACGTCCTGATGTCATAGTTAAGTTGTGTTACCTTCAGCTTTGAATATTAATTTTAGGTTGGATCTCGAGCTACTTGAAGACTTGGAGTGGTTATGTGTGGGTTTGGATTTAAATTTACTATTTACAAGCGACCCGCCCCGGTTTTGCCTCGATAGGATCTATTGATGAAGCGGTATTTAGGTTTATGATAATCATCAAAGACCATTTATTTCATAAAATTTTCGGTTTCTTAAAAAATGTCCAAGTTCTTCGATTAAATTTAGCCTAAATCAGTCCTGGCATTACTATCTACCTGTTAATAAAGTTTCATTACAATCGGTTGAGTCATTCTGAAGATTAGCCCCGAAAAATATATAGATATATAGAGAGACAGGCAGACAAAAATTTAAACATTGGTCATTCATGTTTTATGGCATGCAAATAACCCGTTATTTTTGAAATATAGTCAGACACTTCTATTTTATTTATATGTATATAATAGATAAGATACCAAGTAGATTGTAGCACCCGGATGTCATATAAGAAAAAATAAAAACGTTTTCATATAAGATAGTTATTAACATATTCAGTTCTATTTTACCCGTAAAAATTTTTGTAACTACATTTGATGATATTTAATTATAATAATTTAAATTAGATTAGAAAAAGAAGACCGCGAAACGTGATCTTAAAAAATGTAGGTCATGTATTTTTAGATTAATAAAAGGAAAAAACTCAAAGGTTAACGATGTTCCACCAAAACCTTTTATGTGAAAAATAGGCCAAGTACAGTACAGTACAAACGATGTTACATGTTACAGACAGACATACAGACCCCTGCCATCGAACAATTGTCAGGGTGGCTTCCTGTGACCTCACAACGTCAACATTTGATGAAATCAATATTCACGTGGTAATAACAATAACTTTCTGATTTTTTTTTGACGACTACGCGGCGTAGCGGCTTAGCAATGAGTGGCTGCGGGGGTCGCGGGTTCGAATCCCCCCAAGGGACAAGTATTTGCATGGCCTACAAATAGTTCTTCCGGGTCTGGATGTTTGTCCTTGTGCAATTTATGATTGTAAACTGCCCCCACGACACAGGAGAAAACCCTAGTAGTGTAGGGGTAACGTTAAAAAAATTTCAATTTTCAATTTTCTTAGCGGGAAGTTATAAAAGTTTAATTTTGAACTAAGGAATATCACAAGCTCAAAGTCACAACCAGCATGTCGTCTAAAAAGTTATATTAAATTTTTTATTCCGATTTATAGGTACTTTTGCAACGACAAGGGTAGAATTTTTTTGTTAAATTTTATATTAAGGTATAGCCTATTTAATAAAAAACTATAATAAAAATCGTTAAACATTTGGCTAAGATGACGCGTAACACTCATACAAAAACAAACAGTCAATTCCCATTTGTATAGCTGCCGTGATCGCCGACAGTAACGGTTTCGTTCACTCCTAGTTTTTTAAATAAAATAAATGTGTCTAGTGTTTAAACTTACTTAAAATTAATATCAATAGATGCAGTGTTTTATTGGTGTTCGAGTGGTTAAATCATTCAGTGTTTTCATGTTAAATTGTGATAGAAATACTCCAAAAAGTGTGAGAAGCACCGTAGTCATTTTTAAAAGTTGCAGTCAGTTGTTTATTTTGCAACGGGTATGCAATAAATTATAGTCACATTATTCAACGAACATTTATCTCCGTAAAGTGAATCGGTTATTCAAAGAGTATATCAGCGAACAATTGGCGCTGTGGCTTACGCATAAACGTAACAAGAAAATAAGTATAAGAGGCGTTAGATCGAATCCCAACAGCTGAGGTCTTTTTAACTTTATTTACAACAATTTCTTAGTTTGAGATTAGTAAAACAATTAATATGAATTGCTCTGCCTGCAATAAGAAGCTACTTCGCACTGACCGCTGCGTAGCATATAATCACTGTCATTCAAAATATCATATTGAGTGCCTAAATCTAAATAAAGAACAATTTACGGCTTTAGCTACTGAATATAAATCAAAGTGTCCATCTTGTAGTAATATAATTAACTGTGGTCCAACGCTTGACCACTCGTAGAGAAACCATTGAATTCGCCACTTGAAAATTCAAGCTATTCATCAACCGATTCCCAATTATTTTCCTCAAACGACGACAATCTCGTCACCACGGGTAAAATTAGTACCTTATTGGATAAAAAACTTAATAATTATCTATCGGATTTCGTGGAAAGTTTTAGAAAAGCATTGAAGGATGACGTCAAAAACCTAGTACAAGCAGAGATGGACTCAGTTGTGCAGCAGCTTTTAAAAGTTAGTGGTTACAGAAATAGTCTTTAACTTTACTGTAACCACTAACTTTATATGTGATGAACAGTCTTCTCTAAAGCAAGAAATTGAAAATAAGAGTCACATAATAAAACACCTAGAATCTGAAACTCTTCTATTTCAAAAGGAGATTAATGTTCTGACCAATCGTTTAACATCAATTGAAAAAATTTCCCGTAGCAAAAATTTAGAAATTCAGTTAGTACCAGAAAGTCGAACTGAAAATCCAATGCTGTTATTCCGCAACCTGTGTAAAACAGTAAATATTCAAATAGATGATGAGAACATTCATTCTTGCCGTAGAGTCGCCAAATACGACATCTCCGAATCATCCGAACGCCCTAGAAACATTCTTGTAACACTCATTAACCCACGCTTAAGGGACCAAGTTCTCTCCACATGTTAACGTTATAATAAAGCCAATAAAGACAATCCCTTGAATACCAACAACATCGGACTAAATTGCGAAAAGCGAAAAATTTATGTGACTGAACATCTTTCTCCGGAATTTAGGCTCTTTATGCTGCTGCTAGAAATTTTGCAAAGGAGAAGAAATATAAGTATGTATGGGTTAAGTTCGGACGTATATATATTCGTAAGGAAGACACTGCGGCCTGCATACACATTAGAAATATGGAATGCTTAAACAAGCTGTCATAATATCACAATTTTTTTTGTTGCTATATTTGGTTTACGTATTTGGGAATTTTACTACTGTATAATGTTAATGTATTATCAATGTTAATTGCTTAAGATCAAAAACAAAAGAGTTCTATCTTAATGTACTTAATAATGATTTACGACATTATCTGAATAACTGAAACAAACTTAAATAGCACTATTTTTGACGGTGAATTCATTGACACTAGCTATAATGTTGTAAGGCGCGACAGATATCAATCAAATGCACGTAAATCTGAAGGCGGGGCAATTCTAATTGCCGTTATAAAAGAAATAAATTTTATTTATCAAGTTTCCTAGAATAGTGAACTAGAAGACTTGTGGATAAGCATATTGTCAAAAGCCACTAATGTTAAAATTATTAATATTTGTCTCTGTTATCTTCCGCCAGATCTGCCTTTAGACTGCATCGATAATTTTTTTACAAACTGTCAAAACGTAATTATGCGATATCGCAACACAGAAGAATTTCTTTGTATAGGGATTTTAATATACCCGACGTTCACTGGTCTAAATCATCACAGTATAATTATATGATTCCTCTTCACCCGCGAGGTTAAAAAGCTAATCTGCTTTGTGATACCCTTAGAATATGTAACCTTGATAATTATAACAATATATCAAATAACAACGGACGATTTTTAGACCTAATTCTTTTCAGTTCGAACAGCATTCAGGTTTATGAAGTGGAGCCATTGAGCCGCTTAGATAACCACCACCCCTCATTAGTTGCAGATAATAATATTGTTGAAATAAACTCAAATAATTTTAAAAACAAAAAACAAAAACGAACAAATTTTTTCAAAAGCAATTATTCAAAAATAAATCTTGAATCTAAATCAGTTAAATGGCATAATATCTTGTCAATTCATAAAGATATTGATAGCATGACTGACACATTTTACGCAGAGCTTAGGAATATTATTGCAAAACATACACCTATGACCAAAATTGACACAAACAACCACCCATTATGGTTCACACCTGCTTTAAGGCAAAGCTTAGAAGAAAAACTAAAATATCATCGTCGTTTCAAAAAATATAAGAATCCTCGGGATTATGATAAATTTTCCATGTTACGCAACA